CCAGACAAACTGTGAATCCTACAGTATCAAGAATTTACTCATTTATTCAATAACAATCATGTCACCATCTTCTGGAACATCATCATAACAATCCAATTCCTGAATTTCCTGGTGAATTTTTTGTGACTCCATTTCTTTCAGAATCAGTGGACCAAATCTCTCAAGTTTAGCCTAGCGAGGGCCTTATTTTTGGGGGGATGCCTTATATTTCACTCAGAAGGAAACCTGTAAGTAGGTCTTATTTTCAGAGGATGTCTTATTTTTGGGGAAACACGGTATATTAAACTAGAGGCCTGGTGCATGGATTCGTGCACTGGTGGGATCCCTCAGGGTGAGCTGTGGTGATAGTGAGCTGTGGTGATAGCGCAGAAACCAGCATCCAACATCTCCCAAGGGATATAGTAGTGTGTTCAAAGTGGCAGGCAGCTGGGGAGGAGCCCCTCCCACTCATCCTGCCCCATTCATTCCAGTCAGCTGAGCATCTGCTCAGCTTTCTACCACCGCCCTGGCATCTCCTGGTCTGTCGCACCCAGCTATGGAGAAGTGGGTCACTAGGGTAGTGCAGACTGAGGTTCGAAGAAGCGGGATGAGTGCCCGAAAGTTGCCTGGGCAGAACGGGGAGTCACAATAGCTGCGCGGTGAGGCTATCCACTTCACATGCTGTCCTGAAAGTCCCGGGGTGGCTCTGGTCTGATAGGAGGAGACAGGCGCTAGGGATGGAGTTGGTGGTCTCTTTTCCCCTCTCTCCATCCCTTGGTCCCAGCTTCCCAGGGAGAACTCAACCAGAGGGTTGGAGCGGTGCCTGGGAGCAGCAGAATTTGGGCCAGTGGCCCGGCCTCCCAATGCAAACTGCAGCTCAGCCCCACCTGCTTGTGATCTTTCATAGACTCAATTGCTTGTTACTATTTTCCTCTGTCCAAGTTGACTGTTTCTGGTGGTCAGTGCACATCATAATAACCAGTCCACTGGTTGCTTAAGCTTTTATATATATAGACTAGAGGGCTGGTGCACAAAATTTGTGCCTACGGGTGATTGGCAGGGCAATCAGGGGGCTTCTGCTGGCACCTACCTGCCTTGGTTAGCATGGCACCACCTGCTCGCTGACCCCAACCCCTGCCACCACCGATGCTGCTGGTCAGGGCCTGCAGACTGGGGGCAGCTCCTGCAGTTAGCACCTGCCCCTGGTGGTCAGTGAAAGTCACAGCAACTGGTTATTCCACAGTTTGGTCAATTTGCATATTAAACTTTTATTATATATTATGTAGCTTTCATTATACATAATAATAGTGTTTGTACTTTAGCTAACAACTTGGACAAATTATTCATTGTATCCCTAACTTGTTCAAGGAACCACACTAATATCCGCTGGGAGAGGAGATGAATAAAAGATTGACCAAATCCTCAACATTCAATACTGTATTTAATGGAAGAGACAGACTTCAGAACTTTTTACAGCCCAGCCAGAATGACTTAGTGGTTGAGCATTAACCTATGAACCAGGAGGACATAGTTCTATTCCCAGTCAGAGCACATCTCAGGTTGCAGGCTTAATCCCCAAAGTGGGGCATGCGGGAGGCAGCCAATCAATGATTCTCTCTCAACATTGATGTTTCTCTCTCTCCCCTCTCCCTTCCTCTCTGAAATCAATAAAAAATATTTAAAAAAAACCTTTTTACAAAACAAGTAATAAAATATTGCTAACCTACTGAGTACTGTGTGTGTGTATAATTTCAGTTGGAACGGCTCAGAAACCTCTTGTCCAAAAAAGAAAAAAAAAAAAAAAAAAAGAAAAAAAAGAACTGAAAGTAAGCATTTGAACAATGCCTTAAGAAATAATTGAGACTTTGTACACCAAGATGGCAGAAGGGGTTTGGGGTTATAAAGTCAGAAAAAGCAAGTAAGAGACATGAAAATATGCCCTCACCCCATTTTAGCTTGTTAGTTACCGTATTTTCTGGAGTATAAGACGACCCCCTAATTTTACAGTTAAAACCTAGGTTTAGGCCTATATTCGCTGTATAAGATTACTCCCCACTTCCGAGGCAACACCAGTTCTTTTTTTAATTAAATTTTTAATGAATGACCCCCGATTTTCGGTTGACTTTTTTTCGTTTCAAAAGTCGTCTTATACGCCGGAAAATACAGTAATCTAACTTGTTAATTCATGGGAAAAATGAAAGGGCATTCCTCTCTTATATCTCAAAACTGTCTCTATCTTTCCCTCCTATCTCAAAAGTCTCCCCACCCTTTACCAAACCTAAATTTGGCCAGTATTGGTCAGTGGTTAGAGTGCTGGCCTGTACACCAATGAGTCATGGTTCAATATTTGGTTGGTCAAAGGCCAAATTGGGTTGCAGGTTCAGTCCCTAGTCCCAGTCAGAGAATGTGCAAGAGGCAACTGATCTTTGTGTCTGTCTCTCTGTCTGACACCTCCAGTCTCTCTAAACTTTAGAGTCCAAAGGAAAAAAAAAAAAATCTATGGAAAAATATATTCTCGGCTGAGGATTAACAAAACCAAACCAAAAAAATTGCTAAAATGGTCTCTCCTCTTATAATACATAGCCAGAACTCTCCATAACTTATGTTGTTTACCTTTCTTGACTCCAAAGCCAAATTTATCAGCACCTGATAACCACTTACATTGATTTCAAAAATGCCAAGAACCACCCATATGTTATGTACACATAAGTCTTTCATAAACAGTGAGTGTTATACATAACTATTCCATGAATTAAGACCCACCAATATGTGGGTCTTAGCCCATCTTTTCAGATTTCCTTTGTAATAAACACTTTATTTCATTAAGCAATCCAACTATCTTGCTTTATAACTTTTAAAAATAGATTTATCCCAACTATATCCCACTTTTTTTTTTAAATGGCTCTTCTTAATGTAAACAAAATTTTTACCATGAACTTCTCTTCTGTTCTCCTAAGGTATAGAGTTTTCAGAGCTACCAAATGCATCGAATATTACAGAAATTCCATAAATATTTGTCAATAGGCTAACTTATAGTTAACAATATAAAGGTCACCAAACATTTTGATTAATGAACAAATTGAAAATTTCATGTCCACCTGTTCAGATTCCTAGTAGGGGGTCAAGACTACAAATGGAGACCTACATTGCATACATCTAAATATTCAAATTATAAATCAAGTTAAACTATTAAATAAAATATGGTCTCTTCCTCCAGCCTTGATAAATATACTTTCAACCACCTGGAGATACTGATTCTATCGATAATTTAGAATTTTTAGACTCCTTGAAGTCCCACACTATGGTGTAGTGACCTGGGAGTGCCAGCCCACACCCTTCTCTTCACATTCCCCAGTTCAATCAACAACTTGAGAGAGCTTGTTCACACGTTTGGACATCCTACCCACTTTAAGCCCTAGCCACCCTTCAGGCTAAGGCTACTAATTTTACACAGCACAGAAAACATGGAGGTGGACAGAGTGAGGGCTTAAGATGGGCACACCCTCTTGGCTCTTCAGATCCTTCATCCTGTGGCAAAGTGTGGCCAGAATAGAGTCCTCTAATTCACGATCCCAAAGCAAGGCCCCTCTTCCCAGAATGAAAGGTAATACATACTGGGTAATTTACCAAATTGGAGAATTTACCAGATCAGTTTGTTACTACTTAATATACAAGTTGAAAATAAATGCAGTGGAACCTCAGTTCTTGAACTTAATTCATTCGAGAAGGCTATTCAAGAAGTGATTTGTTTGAAAACCAAGTCATTTTTCCCCCCACTAGAAATAATGTAAATTTAATTAATTCATTCCAGACCCCCAAATTATTCCCTGTTTTAATCTTTCTTATATACAGTACATGTCTAATATACTATTTAATCTATAAATAAACATTGCTTTTCTTTAAGCTATTGAACTAACCAATACTAGCCTTAAGTGAATCACTTTTAGCATTTGGTCCAGGGATATCTTTCAGGTCAGTATGTTGCATTTTTGCTTGGTCATATATCACACTGCCTCTGAAATGGCTGTCACTAGCTACTTTCATTTATCCAAATCTTCAGTTTTCCTACCTCTTCAGTTGTGATCACTGTTTCTTCCATACCCTTAGCAACATCAGCACTCTTGATAGCCTCTTTATGTTTTAAAATTCTGCTAATCTTTGATTTCAGTTTTGCCAGCAACAAAAGCATTCTCTTTTATTGCCAGAGAGACACTTTTTTGTCATGATGAGATATCATCTTGAAAGGGTAGTCAGTTTGAAAACCGAAGTTTGGTTTGACCCCAAGACATTTTTTTCTATGAACAACTCGGTCAAGAGCCAAACGGTTCTAGATGGGAGATGTTTGAGAAATGAGGTTTGACTGTATGTAAAAAGAAGATTACAGTAAGAGATAAAATCTGAGATCCCAATCTTTAATAACTTCAGTTCCCTCGAGATCTACAATTGAAGGGTCTAATATTTACCTGGATCTACTATTTAGTCTAAGTGTAGATTCTGTGTTTTCTTTAAAAATTCATACAAATTTACCAAATTCAAATCACATGCTACAGGGAGTTAAGAGAACAACGAGGAACAAAAGAAAGAAGGGAAGGAGAAAACATAGAATATCAAAGAGAAGATCAGATATGTGGTCTAAAAAAAGTCATTTCCCTGGTGCTCTGTCACTTGAGTGCTGAAGCATATGACAACATTATTAACAACCTGTTCAAAGCCACTAGTATCACAGCTTGTTCCCACTAACACACAGATTCATGTAGTTCACTTGTTGGCCTCATAATGCCCCTATTCTAGGCACTGTATACACTGTAAATCAAGCTGAATTTTATCAGCATTAAGTTGAATCTAATGATAGCACTCCCTATACCTCAATGTAAATTGCTGCACTGCAATTTTTACTTTACTTAACAAGAAAATTCATTTTAATTGGGAAAAAAAACTAATAATTCTCATCACAATACATATATACATATTCCACAGGAAGGGAATAATTTTAACTGGAAATCTTATTTATGTGTACTTACTGAGATTGTACCATTGTCTAGACCTATGGACAGTCTTCTTGTTTCCGGGTTAAAAGACATGCATGAACATGGAGCTGAAAGAAATGAACATGTTGATGAAGTTAACAAAACAATGATTCTCATTGATGCAGGAGTGACTAGCTAAAAGTGTATGGCTATTTTATTTTATTTTGGCCACTATTTCCTGAATAACAGTTCATTTAACTCCCACCCACCAAAAATGAAAACAGTAAACTTATAGCCAAGCCTAGTTTTTCAGTTACCCTTTTAATCAATATAACAAATAAGATATTCTCAACTACATAAGTTCTAAGGGGTTTGGTCTCAGCTGTTCTGTCCATATCAAGTCTCAGTTTGCTTGACTAGATAAATAATATTTTGTGCTGTGTAATCCTTCTGTCACCAGCCTATCTGTCTCTTCCACTCAAACCCCAACTTTAATAGAAAAAAAACACACCAAAAAACAACACTATCTTTTCTGAAGTAGTTAAATAAAAGAAAGATCTCATTGTTCCCCCACTAGTATAAAAATCTATTTTGAATCACAATTGATTTGGGGTATGAAGACTAGCAGAAATCTTTTATCCTTAGCATTCAAGGGATATGCTGGAAGCTACTAATTATAAAAGACTGAGGATTTGTCTCAATCTAAACAAGAACCAACTTGACATAGAGCCAGGCTCTACAGGAAAGAAACCAGGTGAGTCAGTTCAGCCTGTCCTGGACAGGGCTATCTGGTTCTGCAAGAATGACCTCAGCTTAAGTAAATTAAGCATGTCTGGAAGCCACGTGTGGCCATGAAGTGCTTGCTAAACAGTCAGCTTCCAGGTGCCTGCCTTATCGACCTATGCTTGCTTGTAAGAATGGATGCCTTTTGACAATTTGTCCTATAATGAAATAGTTGTTCTAAAGAGTTCTATACAATTTTTAAAAATTCCCCCTATCTTCACAGTAGCGCTGTAGATCATGAACTATTCATCAGCATAATCATAACTGGCATCAGATATTTTTATTACTACTTTACACAGTTATGATTAAATGTCTTACCCAAGGTCACACAGGAAGAAAAAGCTAGAAAAGGCTCAAAGACATAACTCAAACACAGTCCTACTTTCAAACATCTAACTTAGATATCTTTAAACTATAAAAGAACTTCAAATTCTACTAACAGAGCCATTTCATAAACACATCAATTAGTAATATTTTTTTCACTTTCTATAAAAAGGCCCTGACTCACAATCAAAAGATCTTCTAAACCACATAATCATTTTTTCTCTCTCTAATTTTCAATCATGATACAGTTAGAAAACAGAAACATACAAAAAAAATTTCCCCCATGAACTTCTACTAGTGCAGCAATATATCTTCTTTCAGTTTAGCCACAAAATTAAACTAGATTCCCAAAGGAACACTGCTGGGAAAAAAGTAATCAAATGGTATTTAATGTACTGCCCTAAGAAAGTCTTTCTTGCCCATGTCCTACAAGCTATGTTGACAAAATTTCTACACAGATGCTAGGATTATGCCAGGTCACAAAATCCGATATTGTGGGTAAAATTAAAATCCAATGATTTTATGAAAAATTATAATGTTAGCTAAAAAAAAAAAAAAAAAAAAAGCAAACAGAAATACATTGTGATTATGACTACATAATCTATATAAACACATAAAAATATACACAGAAAAGCTAAATATAGTTTGTTCAAGTGACAAGATTACTTAACATTGTCTTTACTTAGTATTTTGCTATTCCTATTGCAATTTTTAAATTAAATAATTTATTAAATACTAGAGGCCGGTGAATGAAATTAGTGCACCGTGTGTGTGTGTGTGTGTGTGTGTGTGTGTGTGTGTCCCTCAGCCAAGTCTGCACCCTCTCCAATCTGGGACATCCCTCTCACAATCCAAGACTGCTGACTCCCAACCACTCACTTGCCTGCATTCCTGATTGCCCCTTAACAGCTTCTTTCTGCCAGTCTGATCACCCCCTAACCACTCACCTGCTAGCCTGATCGACACCTAACTGCTCCCCTGCCAGCCAACCTGGTCACCCCTAATTGTCCTCCCCTGACAGACTGGTCACCCCTAATCATCCTTCCCTGCAGGCCTAGTCACCCCCAACTGCCCTCCCCTGTCTGCCCAGTCACCCCTACTTGCCCTCCCCTGCAGGCCTGGTCTCCCCTAACTGCCCTCCCTTGCAGGCCTGGTTACCCTAACTGCCCTCCTCGGCAGGCCTGATCACTCTCAACTGCCCTCCCCTACAGCCCTGGTCCCTCTCAACTGCCCTCTCCTGCTGGCCATCTTGTGTCCACTTGGGCGTGGCCACCTTTGACCATATGGGGGCAGCCATCTAGTAGTTGGAGTGATGATCAATCTGAATATTATTCTTTTATTAGATAGGATAAGTATGGGAATGTAAAGCAAAATTTGATCACAGCCCAAAAGACTATGGACTGGTCAAGGATAACTTAGCTATCTGCCTGACCATGTAAAAGCATTTTCTATGTAATTCCCTCCAAAGTTCATATTTAGTTATATAATAATTAGAAAAGCCATTGATTTTTTAATGTGATTTAAAAGACATTTTTATAATATTGCACAGCCTGTTCCCTAAATCTGCAGGGTTGATCATCCCCAACTGCCCTCCATTGCAGGCCTGGTGCCTCCCAAATGCCAGATATAGAGGGCAATACTTTCCAGATATAATCTGCATTACTATTTCTCTAGTCATTGTTTTTCCCTCATTTACCAAATTTCTTGTCATTCTGTCAAATTTACAATTCTCATAGGCATGTGACACAATGATATATAAGGTAGAATTTCTAGATTTTGACACCAATTATAAGAACTTATATAAGAACTATAAGACTTGTCCCCAATGTTACCTTAGTTCAAAACACTTTATATTGATAGTAAGCAATACCACCAGAATTCAAAAGGAAAAGACCTTTCCTATTATAAGGAAACATAAAAGAAATTTTAATAGAAATTCTGTAGTTCTAGAACCCATATATGTGAATGCAAGATGGTTACAGACAGGGAATGCCAGATATAGAGGGCAATACTTTCCAGATATTATCCCAAACAGGCAAACATCTCTTCAAAGAGGCACCACGGTAAAGATTCAAGCAAACCTGTGTGAGTGTGTGTGTGTGTTTGTGTGTGTAGAGAGAGAGAAAGACTTTTGGTGGGAGAGTCTTATGACACGCCTCAAACCATTTCCCAACTGTGACATTCCCATAGAAATAGTTCCTATGTTAGCTGCCCATAACCCTGTAAGGCTAAGGAGGCAGGGAGTGATTGAAAAAAAAAAATATTTATGCCCCTATTGTTGCTATAGTAAATGTCTTTCCTTTCGGGAAATAGGGGAGTAAAGAGATCAAGGCAGAGATCCTTCTAACTTCAACCCACCAGAAATTATCAAAAAAGCAACCTCTGAAAGACTAGTGCTATGGCCCTTACAAAATGTGCTCCCATCCATCCATGCAAGAAAATATCAAAGGGGCAAAACTGTGTGAGGAAGGATAGTAAGATACAGTAATGTTAATTATAGATAAACTAGAGGTCTGGTACACAAAATTCATGCACGGTGGAGGGCGTGTCTCTCAGCCCTGCTTGTACCCTCTCCAATCTGGGACCTCTTGAGGGATGTCTGACTGCTCATTTAATGGACAGTTGGACATCTCTCTCACAATACAGGTCTGCTGGCTCCCAACTGCTCGCCTGCCTGCCTTCCTGATTGCCCCTAACCACTTTGGCCTGCCAGCCTGATCATCCCCTAACCACTCCCCTGCCAGCCTGATTGATGTCTAACTGCTCCCCTGCCAGCCTGTTTGCCCCCAACTTCCCTCCTCTGCCGGCCTGGTCACCCCTAACTGCCCTCCCCTGCAGGGTTGATCATCCCCAACTGCCCTCCATTGCAGACCTGGTCCCTCCCAACTGTCTTCCCCAGTTGGCCATCTTGTGTCCACATGAGGGCAGGATCTTTGACCACATAGGGGCAGCTATCTTGATCTTGTGTGTTGGAGTGATAGTTAATCTGCATATTATTATTTTATTAGATAGGATAGAGGCCTGGTGCACGGGTAGGGGCCAGCTGGTTTGCCATGAAGGGTGCCCCAGATCAGGGTGGGGGTTCCCTTGGGCTGTGGGGTGGCTTCAACGAGGGGCCTGTGGTGGTTTTCAGGCCAGCCATGTCCCCCAGTGACCCAAGCGGAGGCCCTGGTATCTGGAATTTATTTAACTTCTACAATTGAAACTTTGTAGCCTAGAGCAGAGCCAAGCCTCCTGCTTGCTCAGTGGCCACCCCCATATCTGCTGGAATTTATTTATCTTCTCTAATTGAAACTTTGTAGCCTGGAGCAGAGGTCTAGGGCTGCAGAAGCTTGGCTTCCGCCATTGCCTGGGGCAACCTTAGCCTCTTACTGTTCCAGCTCAGTGGCTGCTGCCATTTCTGTTTCGTGGATTTGTTTACCTTCTATAATTGAAACTTTGTAGCCTTGAGTGGAGGCCTGGGCTCGCCAGGGTGTGTGGAAAGCTTGGCTTCCTCTATTGCCTGGTAAATCCAAGCCTCCCTCCTGCTCTCTGTGGCTGCAGCCATCTTGGTTGGGTTAATTTGCATACTCACTCTGATTGGCTGGTGGGCGTGGCTAGTGGGCATGGCTCGTGGGTATAGTGGAAATATGGTCAATTTGCATATTACTTTTTATTAGATAGGATGGTGAAGGGAATCCTCTGGCAAGAAGATAAAGGAGGAAACAAACAAAATATGATGTAGGACAATACTTATAGTGAGGTTACAAAAATGTGATGTTTCATAAATAATATTTCAGTTTTCAGTGACAGAAAACTAATAATCATCCTATAAAATAAAAACCTAGGTGGCGTCACACCTTCACACGACTTCACCAAAAGATAACCACCACAAGATCGCCTACCTCACATCATCACAAGATAGCCGTCACAAGATGGCCAGCAGGAGAGGATAGTTAGGGGTGAACAGGCCAGCAGGGGTAGGGTAGTTAGAGGTGACCAGAATGGCAGAAGAAGGCAGTTGGGGGCGATCGGTCTGGCC